TTGCGTTTAGGAATATTGAAACTCTCCAGCCGGTCCTCACAACCAGTATCAGAGGTACCCACTTCAACATTCTCCACACTCTCATCCTCCACCTCAGGCTCAGGGGAAGGATGAGCAAGATCCGCACACAAATTATCGAGCACCCTGACCCCCAGAGCATCAATATCGGAGTTATTCATGGGTTTAACCACAGCTAAGTTACGAATCATCTCTATAGCCTGCTCAGCCTCTAAATCCAGCATATCATTAACCGAATTTTAAATTTCACTATCATTACTACATAGTGAAATTCCTAGCTGGTTTGCATTATTAATAATCTCATTATTGGAAAAAATGCAAAATAGAATTAGAAGTATGGACCGACATACCAGTAGTGACCTCCACGTCACGAAGCTTGGCCGCCCTCATGGCACACCGCTGCTGAATGTCGTCCACATCCGGATGGTCCTAGAGACGGCTGCTCAACCGTCGCCCCTCAGAGGCCGGATCCGGAATACCACCGAATGCAATCACCTCCTCCCGAGTGGCCCTACTCGAGAGCACCAAGCCGGGGGAGGGTGGAACCTGGGCCTCCTGCCCGAGCTCCCCATCCACCCCGGCCCTTCGGCCAGCAGGAGGCATCGGCGCCGTAGGAGGGCTGGCCCCCCTGGAAGCCCCAAAAGAAGAGAGCCCCGAGGCCACCTGCCCAGAGCCCTCACCGGAAAGCAAGGCCGCCACCTGCATCATCAACCAGGCGAGAGGAGAGGCCGGAGCCGAGGCCAGCAGCCCCGGACCCCCTCCCGAAGAGGCAGTCTCCACCATTGGGATCTCGACCAATGGAAGAGACGAAGTGGGCGCCGAGGCCACCTGCCCTGAGCCCCCAGCAGCAGATGGCACCACCGACAACACCTCCGGTAGGGCTACTGCAGGGGAGGGGACCGAGACCACCATCCCCAGATCCCCTCCAAGGAAAACGCCCTCCACCGCCGGGCCCGCGACCTGAAGGGAGTCAACAATCATGAGGGAGGGAACCACCTCCGCCTCACGCATGACCGAAATCGGCGAAGCCCCAAGAGAAGGATTCATAGAATCCTCAAACTCCAAAAGAGGAAGCGAGTGCTCGAACACCTCATCAGACTACACCCGCTCACTCCAAAGTCTCGGGGGCGCAGAGGCCGGCTCGAAAGACCCAAATCTGAGAGCAGTCGTAGGCACCATAGAAGGTGGTGCCATCCCACCCCAGACATCTAAGAGTCGGCTCCCGGTGCAGTGGACAACTCTCGGCCACTGTCAGCAACTGGCGCCTCCTTAAGTCCCGAACTATCATCTCCCTCATGCATATCAGTATCAGTCCTGTTAACCACCTCGGCGAACAGACTGTAGTCTCAAACTCAATAATGAGGGAATAGATCTGACCTCGATAAGCCCACTTAACCACGTCGGGCACGTAATCAATATTCAGCACGCTGACCAATAATTGGGCTATCCCGTGAGCTCTGGTAAAGTCCATGTCCACTCGCTCTGGTCTCCCCACCATAATCCCCAGACTAGCCACGACCCGAGCATCCTGCATCGGCTTCGAGGGAGCCCCAGAAAAACGCAACTAGACCTGAGTCAGAGGCTTGCCCGTAGGCTCGATCCTCTTCCACTCGTAAAACTCAAGCACACAATCAGTACCTGGCACCTTGCACATCCCGAAACTCAGAAGTTGCTGAAGATCCTCAACCGACGGGAACTCAACCCGAAATAGTTTGTCCTCGATACTAACAAGATCCCACTGGAAAACACCTGGAGCCAACTCCTTCAGCCTCTGCACAATCTGAGCCTCAGAGACCTCTCCTTTGGTGATTTTGACTAACCCCGTTGTCAAACTCAAGGTCTCGTCAGTAACCTCCATCTCCGAAGGAGACTCAAAGAACGTGAGTTCAGAACAGTACACACCATACATCATAAGAGACGGTGCTTGATCTCGCAAAAACGGACAATCCCCCGTATCATGTGCCGGTTTGCCACAAGTGCCACAAAGCTCAGCCACACACTCCGCGATGAAATGTTCCTTGCCACCACATCGATAACACAGCATTTTCTCTTTCTTGCGCGCCCATTTGGACGCCCTCTCAAACTCAGCCCCGTCTGTAGCCTCCACCGACACTGTCAACCCGGATTCATTCCCTAGAACCTCAGTATTAGCTAGCGCCGAGACCACCTCCAAAGCTTGATCTGATAAAACCTGCTCCTCAACGGTCCCGTCAACCACCATCTGGTCGACCACAGGCGGAGGAGGCTGTCGTGGGCGGTACCGGCCACCTCGACCCCCACGACCCCCACGAAGACCACGGAAACCACCCCGTTGTCGGTAGCCAGGGCCAGATGCCCCCTCAACAAACCCTCCTGGGGGCCCCATGAACGGTCGCTCCACCGAGCCATCACTCTGCCAAGCATAGCCCCGACCACCACCCGTCAACGAGGAACCACGGTGCTTACCAACTCCATACGCATTGAATCCATCATCACCCCACTGACCCCGGGGCACAGCAGGAACTTGAGGCGGCGGCAGTGCCTGGGTCTGCACCGTCCCGGCTCTGTTTTGCTGAGGCTTGGTGACGAGGTTAGGCGGCGGGGCCGGCCTCGGCTGCCCGGTCGTTAGCCCCGGCGCAGGCGGCCTCGGCGCAGCGCCACCCCGGCCCGCACTGGAGATCCCGGCAGTTAAGTGAACTTTGTGATAGCAGAATAATGACAGTAGTACCTGCAGGAGTGTAGAAACTTGTGTAAGGAGAAACATATCTGTAGGGCCCCATCGCTGACACCTTCTCGATCTGCATGGACTTGAGATGAATCATGTAGATGCTAGGATGCACACCAATGAAGATCACATCAACATCTTCAGCATAGCCAACCAGCTTCATTGGAAACTATACATGCCACCGCTACTACTTCTGTTGCAAGAAGTCTCTCCAGATCAATGACCCTGTGATTTGTCATGGTACCACCCCATCAGTGCTAGCTACCTTTGACCACAGATAGAGCTTGAATTCGTCAAGTCCGGAGAAACCAAGAAGTCCATCTTCTATTTTCATGATGATAGTCTGCTCGTAACTACTCCCTCTGTCCCTTAATATAAGAGCGTTTAGTGTGATATATCACCCTAGACGCCGGTCTCGGACGAGTACACGCAGGCGGAGGTGATGAAATTTAACTGGTTACTGAACACGAACGCAATGAGGAACAGGCGAAGCTGGCAACAGCCATAGTTGATCCCACGGAGAATCGCGCCATTGTAGTTCCACTGCCGGTCAGCCTCATAGGCCGGGGGGAATGGCAGGTAGCGCTTGCCGGTCACGAGACGGAGTATCGCATGGCGGCACACGCTGTCGTGGAGGCGAGTACTTCACGAGATTGGGATCCCACAAAACCGTGCTACACTCGTCTACTGCGACAACATCTCCACCGTGCATCTGTGTATGCATGTAGGACATGCCGTTGTGATGTGACTGTTGTCAGACACACGCTGTACTTGTATTTATACCGTGCTCTGCATATGAATAGAATCATCGGAGATTACTTCATCCTTTTTTTTAAAACTCCATAGTTGTATTATGAATCAAAAGCTCAAGATAGAGGACTAGGGAAAATATAATGAAGCTTCCGTTTACTCATGGTCCAAACAGGTGTGGGATGCATGTATTTCTGAAACTGAAACGCCGGCACCTTATAGTCTTCTTAAGACATGAACCCAACCGCTGAACGTCCGGCTAAAAGCCTGAGTTCATATATATAAACAAAAGGGCTGTGGTACAGCGCGGCGGCCCGAGCGTGTTGTGTTGCTTCCGTCATGATTTCCGCGTTCTGCGCACTTTGCCAGCGAAAAGCATGTATACTCAACTGAAGCTAGAATTCAAATTCCCAGGAGAGAAATTGCAAATATACTTCCCAGGTATAGCAGCTGTCATATTGCCATGCCACCACACTAGCAGAGTTCAACTTTGTGCATTACACAACATTGCGATGGTACAGGAAAAGGAAAAGAACAAACTGTGACAATTTTTAGCATGGGATCATAGAGCTCACAAAGCCATAGGAATCTCTAAAAAAAAACCTAACATATTGGTTCAGCACGAATGTGCTACAGAGCATTATTAAAGCCACAAATCAACAACAAGAGGCCAATCAAGCTCGAACAGTCTATTGTCAATTTGTCATCAGCAATATTTCACGGGATGATGTACATTTTACCAACCACCGTTGCAGTTGGTCAACATCATGCGATTAATTCCTCACGTTTTGCAAGTGAGCGACACATTTCTCAAGGAGTAGCAGTTCGTTTACAGCAACATTCACCGCTCGACGGAAATAACCTGCACAGCAGCAATCTCATCAGCGGAGCCGATTTGGCTACTCACAATCACGAGGGGCAAAAATACAGAGAAAATGATATCTGTTCAAACTGCACTAGCAAAACAGTTTCTACCAGTTAAACTTGTTCCCTCGTCTCTTTGCACATCTCAGCAGAGAGAGAACAAGTAGTACACTGTACTAGCAAGATTACCAGTCATGGGCAACGTTTGATTTCTAGTAATATTGAAACACTTTTGGCTTGAGAGCATGTGTTCATATCTGAAGATTGAACTGAAACCTTCCGGTCATTGTGTTTTCTAAAATGCAAAGACTCCAGCTTGTGAAAGATGCAACTATACAACAAAAGGATATCAAAGAAATGATATAAAATTGTTTGATATGATAAACTGCATTGTGGTAGCACATCGGCATAATGAACTATGAACTGTACAGATCGAGGAGTGTTTCCCAGCTCCAGGAGAAAAAGCGAATAAGGTCAAAGTAGGTGATATAGCCACATTATTCAAGGTTCCAGATGTATTGTGCATAGCACTGGATTTTTTTTACCACTGCAGAGAATATTGATCCAGTGGTTGCAAACAAAACAATAGATAATAGTAACAGAGGATGTGATATCACCTCTTAAACCAACAAAGCGTATCAGCAGATGTAACAGCACAATCATCTCAACTGTTGTTCAGCAGTTCAACTTGATCATTTGCACCACCAATGGCAATTCCTATGAGAAGAATATAAGTCAATAACAATTGAAAAACATGGACAAGAAAATAACTGATAAGAGGTGGTGGAACATAAATGAAACACTTATTATATATCTCACCTTGCAGAAAATTCTAGCTTTTTTTGAGGATCGAAAATACTAGCTTTTGCTACATGTAGTCAAGGAACAATTAAAGAAAGAGTATTCAGTGATTTACTTAACCAAGAAGCATTTTAGAATTTGTTTTGGTGTGGGCCCATTCGTAATTTATATCTATGTTTTGTATGCACATGAGAGCGAAAGAATACCAGAATGAGCGCATATTTTCTACAGTTTAGAACAAAGAATGCAGACCAGAGAAATAAGAAACTAAGTAACCACCCTAAATTCCAACATAGCTTGAAGCTCGAGCAATTGACAAGGCAATATCCAGAGTCCAGACATTAGAGTCCAGTTGCTTAAACTGAAAGAGAAAAGAGTTCAGCATTGACTCGCTAATTGGTTATTGTTCTATTATGCAACACAAACAAAATGCAGACTATTGGTCACTTTGGTTCCTTAATTTATCAACTCTCGTGATTCAGTGAGATTATATTATCCAATATACCACAACAGAACAACATGGAAGAACAATTATAAACCGGTGCCAGGAGGATACAACTATATTGTTCCTCAAGTGTATGCTTACTGGTAAGCAAATTACTTTTTAATGGTGCCACTTGACTAAATTACAAGCCCAAACTCTAGCAATAAACATAATTATCACTGTTTAGATTTAGATATGTAGCCCAACTGAACATCAAATAATTGATTATGAATAATGATACAAGCAAATGGCAGGATATGAGTCTGGGTGAAGAGTAAATATGTGAAACACATGCAAGTAACAATGCCAGGACTTAATCCTATACATCTTCTAGTTGTGAAAGGGTTATTTTTCGCTCTCGTGTAGTTGCGTAAGTGACTTGTTAGTAACTTGGTGCAAATCCTACTAGAACGAGCAGCAGCTGGAGGAGGATTCAGAGCATCATTTAGTTAGTATTTCTTTCAAAAAAAGCTCCATGAAAACTTGAAATTTGTAAATGAACTATGGCTGGCTCATATATTTTAAAGCATCTACAAGGCAGATACAATTGAAAGATTAAAGTGAATTCTGAGTTGGAAGATTAAAGTGAACTCCGCGACATTGTAAATATTGGCGGTACCTGGAGCGTAGAAACTTGTGTAAGGAAAAACATATTGTTTGCCGACCCGTTCCTTCGACACCTCCTCGATCTTCATGGACTTGAGATGGATCATGTAGATGCTAGGATACACATCGATGAAGATCACATCCGCATCTACCGCACAGCCAACTGCATGCGCTCCAATACCTCCAGCCATACACACCGACACTGCTTCAGGCGCAAGAATTTTTACGAGTTCAATGACACTTAGATGTGTCCATGTCACCACCCCGTCAATGCTCGCCACCTTTGACCACAGATTAAGATTGAAATTGAATCGTTCCACTCCAGCTAAACCAAGGCATCCATCCTCCGTCGACATGATGAGAATCTGATCGTAGGTACATGGCACCTCCTCAACTAAACCCAAGGTATGCTTATCCAAAACAAACTCAATGATGCTATTGTTATCCAACAGGAAGTAGATTTTGTTTCCAACCAGAGCCATCGGCTTTGGCTGAACTAATGCATCTGGTATAACAATTGAAGTAATCTCACCCCAGACACCGGTCTCAGACGAGAAGACGCATGCGGAGGTGATGAAATCGCTGTCATCACTGAACACGAACACCACGAGAAACGGGCAAGAATAGCAGTCGTGGTGGTCGGCGTGGCCAGCCGCGCACAGAACCGCGCCATTGTATTGACAACAGTCCTGCGCAGGGAACGGCAGGTGCTGCTTGTCGCCGGCACAAGGTCCCAGACGAGCAGCGTCCCAGTGCGGCAGCTCTCAATGAGGGCGCGGCCGTGGCGGCAGTCCAGGGCCCACCAATCATCTGGGGACATCGTGGCGGTGGAGAGCGCGAAGCCGCCGGAGACGGGGACGAAGAAGGGAGGCCCTGTCTGGTTGAAGAAGCCGAGCACGGGAGGCGCGCCGCCGTGGAAATCGCGGAAGCGGCGGAGGAAGCGGGCATCATGGACGAGGCCGCGCCAGTGCTTGCAGACGAAGGAGGCGCGGAAGAGGTGGATCGGCTCTGGCGGGAGGCGCAGGAATATCTCCCGGAGGAGATCGTCCGGGGGAAGCGGCGAGGCGGCGGCGGTCTCCGGTGAGCTTGTCCGTGCCTCCATGGGGTTCGAGGGTTTGGGGGAAAGTGGGTGGGTGTCGGCTTTGGGCTTTGAGAGAATGAACAAAATAACTGGGCCCTGGTTTAAGTTAGGGTGAGATCCAACTCCGGCTCGCCGGGGAGAAAGGAATCTTCAGCCATGGGCAGCGGAAGAAGTGCGCGTGGGCACTAAGGTTGGAGGTAGGAACCTACGCGGGATCAGGGCTAGCCGGCGGTGGGATCTGAAGGAGGAAGGCGAGGAGTGTGGCCACCACCGTGCGTGGATGCGGTTGAGAGAGAAAGAGAGAAGGGGATCAGGAGGAAGAAGGTAGATGAAGAAAGAAGATAAGGTGGGGCAGGGAGGTGTGCAAGATGTATGATGTGCCTCGGTCACGTGGCTCGCGCGTGACCGGGCGAAGTTTCCGCTGGTCGGCCAAGCACAAGCGTTTCCCTTAAGTTAGACCCCCTTCCACCCTTCGTCAAAAACAAAAACAGAAAACACTTTCAAAGCATCATCACATTGAGAAGACATTAACCAAACTCAATGCATCCTACCATTGACCATCGATTTAATATGAAGTCGACTCAAAAGTTGGTGACAAATGTGAGTGGTGTCATCCTTTCCTCAGCAACCATTGATAACCAGATCAGTAGAGGAAAAGTTCTCAGGGAATATAGTAACTTCAAGTAAATACTACAAAAACTTATAAATACTAAATGTAAAAGTTTACAGATGTAATCGTTTCAATCATTTATGGATACTACATATTCATATTAAAATTCCCCCAAAAAAAGAAAACTCAATACTTTCTAAAGTTCATGATCCAATGTTGACTGGTGAGCAAATTATCCAATTTCACAAAATAAGTTCTCTATAGTCTCATCAAATATAATTGTGGCAAGGATGAACCGAGCTAACGTTGAGCTTGTTGTCTGGGTCAAACTTGAACGGAAGAACTGAAACATGCAAGTAGACAAGAAATAAGAAAACATAGGCACAAAAGAGGGGAAGTGTGTACGGGAGGGGGAGGGGAGGGGTAATGAAACATATGATTTGAGATTGGTAAAATACCACTTGTCATTGTTTGGAAGAGTTATGACTTGATTAATATATAGACATGGTTTTATATTATTATTTACCTTATTAAGCTCTGACAAAATATTGCTTTTAACACTTAAGCAACCTTCATTAATCTTCTCTCAACATAGGTAAATAGATCAACAAAATATGAATTATATAACACAATATATATAATAACAAACTATTTTTAATATAAATTACTAATATGACCTATAGCTTGCAAAATGTCAAAAACCTTGAGGCAAACAACCGGTTAATCATACTGCCCTAGGACCTCGGGCCCAATCACATTGCATAAATACTACACACTATACAAACCCATGTACCTTCTAGACACTCATGGCTAAGTGCAAGAAAACTCAACTCATATATCATAAAGTCAGCATAAGAAAACACCAATTACATATACAACATTCAATGTGGAGCATCTGATATTTCAGGCTCCTCTTTAACCTTGCGAGTGTTAGAGAGAACGTTTTGAACTTCCACCTTCACAGAAATGGCGCCACCGCTTGCATTTTTACTCTAACGCTAGTGTACATTCTTACCGTAATTGGAAGGCATCAAGAAACTACCATGTCACCAGAGTAGAGGAAAGGTTCTCAGGGAAAATAGTAACTTCAAGTAAATACTACAAAAACTTCTAAATACTAAATGTAAAATTTTACAGATGTAATCGTTTCAATCATTTATGGATATTACATATTCATATAAAAATTCCCCTAAAAAAGCAAAATCAATACTTTCTAAAATTTTAGTCATTAAAACTTGAGTTCTACATAGGTTGCAATGGTGGTTTTTTTAATGAAAACAAAATGCAAGAATTAACATGTGACTAGACCTAGCAAAGAGGAAAGGTTCCCGGGACAAACTTTAACTTCAAAATAAATATTAAAAATATCATAATTGTGTTAAAAAAATTACAAATCTATTTTGTTGGATCATTTATATGGGTATTCATAGATTTCTTTCTCCAAAAAAAAACTAAATACTTCCCTAAATTTTCAAACATTAAAAGTTGAGATACACAGGTCACAATAATGATCTTTTTAAAAAAAATGCAAGCCCATGCATGCTACCTAAACATTTTACATGTCTATTTTTTCCTGATTATTTTTCACATTTAGAAAACTTTTTTTTCGCTGCTCAAGCTCATTTGCGATGTATGCGGGTTGGCGTACAGGATTGGCAGGAAAGATATCCTCACTTAATCCATTGAAGTTTCTCTACTAACATGGCTATCCAATAGTATATGGAAATGCTTTTCGGAAATGAAATTGCCAGTCAGTGGTAGGTCCGGTTCAGCCACTGAACTACTGTAACAACTAGATGACGCCCCGCGCGTTGCTGCGGGAATTTGTTGTTGATTTTTTAAGGAACATCCACATATCAAAGAAGACAACAATTTAAATAAATAATATGATATATTTTATATATGGCTGATGATTTAAAGATATTACTACACTACAGATTGCTAGTGTAGAGTCTAAACTGCAACTTTTATTATTTTTTCTCAGGTAACTGAATTCACTTAATTAACCCATAGATTATTGATGATGTATAGCATTTGGATTGCATGGAGACGAATATTGTATAACATAAATTAAATTCCATAGGTATAACAGAAAATAGTGACAATTTGTCTTAGAAACATATGAGGAAAATCATTGGATTGAAGAACCACCTGTAGGCTATACACTCGTTCCTCTTCCATAGAAACCTGGATGAGCGGGGCAGAATAAACGAACTCCTCAAGAAAGACTGCAACCTAGCACACAGAGCAAAAAAAACTTCAAGGACTGCAGATGTATCATGACCAACACGGGCGGCACCAGATTGAGATGGATGTGAAATATCAATGTCGTTGACGATGGTAGATCACAACAATGAGCCCAGTTGCTCTATAGAGTTTCATACGGAAATTTTATCAACATTCGATAAATCACGAGGAATTAGTGTTGCTTGTAGCTAGTAACCCTGCGACCTGCAATGGAAAACAGAATAAGAACTTTTGGTACAATTGTGTGGTTCATATGTGATTCCAAGTAGAATGAAAAGAAAAAATCTCACGGATCCTTGTTCTCTGGTAATACCACCAAACTTCGGTGGTAATATCACAAGTATGAATAGTTGTTAAAGATCAATGTCAAACAAACAACTGAAACAATAATGCGTTCAAACGCTTAACCAATCAACTGATGAAGACTGAAACTTGTGCTCTTCTATAAACATCTGATAAATCATTGGATCGATTGTTAACTAAGGGAGGTATACAACAGAAAAATCATGAAACACTCTCTTGTAAACGAAAATTAGTGGAAGAAACAACTACAATCGGTGGAAAATAAACAACTAAGATCGGTGGCAAAAACATACTGAAACAATAGTACGTTCTGGCACTAAACCAATCAACTGATTAAGAACATTTACTTATAAATCACGTGGAGCTTTGCAACATACTACAGAACACTTCTTCTTCGGTACAACCCCCCTGGAAACATCAACGGTCCAGATCGTCCTATACCCCTTCACCTGAAAACTTAAAAAAGGATAGGATGGTCATTGCCCCTTCCCCTCCCCCCAGCCCCGCCCCCGCGACGTACCCGCGCGGCCCGTCGAAGTACGTACGTGTACGCGCGTCCGACGGTGTATTTTTTACTGTGGCGACTGTGTCAACTGTGTGCCTTCAGTGTCAACTGTGTGCTCAAAGAAGAAGTCTGGATCTCTGTCCTTTCTGGTCAACATGATTCCTATGGCAGTATCAGTATCACCTTGTGCAAGCAATTTCATCTTCTCCCTATAGCACATGTTATACAGCTTTGTCCTCTGAAACGGTGACTTTGCATAGGACCCATACCTGCTAACGATGTTGTCAAAAATGATATGTTTTCTTATCCCAGCTCCAGCCGTAGCTAAGATCTCAGCTCTCTCAAATGCTTTGATCTGATTATGAGATCGGAGGAAAGGGACTTCGTCCGGTCGTGCAAGAGTGTGGTTGTGATCATCGGAGAAACTGCTGACATACCAAAGATTGAGCTTTTTATCAAGCTTAACTGTCAAATGGGCTTCGCATAAGAATCGACTCTCCGGTCTAAGCCTGCGGTGTTGGGTTTCGTAGTAATTTCAAAAAAAATCCTACGCACACGCAAGATCATGTGATGCATAGCAACGAGGGGAGAGTGTTGTCTACGTACCCAACGCAGACCGACTGCGGAAGCGATGACACGACGTAGAGGAAGTAGTCGTACGTCTTCACGATCCAACCGATCAAGCACCGAAACTACGGCACCTCCGAGTTCGAGCACACGTTCAACTCGATGACGA